TTGAAATAAATACACGGAAATGATCGCTTAAGATCTGGTCGATCTTAACACTACCAAAAACATGTTGAAATTAAAGATTAACAAAGAATCTCTAGATAGTGCTTTTTTTTGTAATAAAAGATAGTTGATTTTTATAGTTCAATCGTAAATAATAACCTTAAGCAGTCTTTGTGAAGTTTATCGGTATCAATAAAAACTTCATAGTGATACTCCATCATCGAAATACTCCGTATATCTTACCACCATGATCAGCAATTTTTATTGTTAAATCTTCATGACCTTTAACAATAAGAACACGTACAGGTGGATATTCTTTAGCATCTGCACCATATCGTTCAACAGTTGCACGAAGTGAATTCTACATATTTTATGATAAAACAAAAACAATTATGAATTAAAATTTAGTATATTTACTTTTAATAATTCAAAGATAATATGATAAAGATGAGATGGAATATAAACAATTGTTACACGATTTGTACTATGATCTTGTACTAGAGAAAAAACAAACATATTATCAGACAATAAAAATTCTTCTTTCCAATCATATTTACTATTATGAGATGATATCTCAATTTTAGGTACTTGATAAGATGCTTGTTCAAATAGAAATTTTGCTGTTGAATACGCATCTACATAATAAATAAATAATAATCGTACTTTTTAAAGCGATTAGATCTCGTGACATGTAAAGTTCATATAATATTCATTAAAACTCGGTTAAAAATAAAAGAACAAAAATATTTTTTCATTCTTTATTTCTTCTACGCATACAAAACAATTATTATTTGACATAACAGAATCATAAGAAAATAGTATTGTTTTTTTCTTCGTCATTTCATTTTGTTATTATAAATAATAAAGTTTAAATGTAAGAATGAAAAAAAAAAGCAATTTACCGTTAACAACTGCAGCAACATCAACTGATGGATCAATAATACCTGCTTGTTGGGTATGTTGAGGAAATTCATCACCAAATAGAAGTGCTAGAAAATAATATACGTTTTAAAAATAAAATGAAATTATCTTGATATACTATGCTGATAGATTAATGTTCTAACACCAATTCGATTCATAAAAAATCGATCATAAAAATATTGTATTTTATTTTTTTCTATTATACCAAGTGAACCAACTTTTTCTAATTCTATATATGCCTAGAAAAACAATTCAAATGTATTATATAAAAATATTAATTATAATATAAAAAAAAAGTAACCTGAGCCATTGTTGGTACGACATCAGCATGACGTCGTCGAATATCAATTAATGTTTCTGTAAATCTAATTTTGATATTTTATTTAGATAAAATATACAAAATAGAGTTCTAATACAATACTTGCGTAATGTTGTTGAATTAGGTTCAGCATCTTTAAATTCAAGTACTTCAGAATAACTTTGATCATACCATGAACTAACTAATTTAAAACTTGGCATTTCAAGTAATCTAATATAAAAATAAACGAAAATGATTTTTTTTTATTTGATTAATGGATAAGATTTACTTTGGTGGTAGAAAATTCATTTCTTTATGCATATGAGACCATCGTATAAGTAATTCAACACGTAAAAATTTATAGGATTGTTTAATATCACCTTCACGAGCTATAAATATTAATAGATTATGATTTTTTTATTATGTTTTCCTTCACAAACCAAAATCAATAAGACTTTTCAAAGTAAATGATGTTGGTTGAAATTTCGAATAATATTCAATATGACTAGTTAAATTGGAAAGTATTCGAGTTAAACGCATTATTTTCAATATACAATACTAAGATTATCTGAATTATAATCTAAAATTTCATAATAAATAATCGTAAAATATATCAAAACAATAGTGTAAGGTAGTACTGATTTTATCAGTATAGCGTTTATGAATATAGTGAATCGAAATTCTTATTAGAAAAGGATAGATTATTATTTAATCCAGAAAGTAAAGATAAAGATCTTACTAAACTAGATAGCATTGAATGATTTAGCCTTTAACTAATCCTAATTTGTGATTGATGAATTTTGTTTCTATACTACCACGCAACGCCTTCATCGATTTTCTTCTAACTTAGCGCAATCTTGCTGATGAGTAGAGAATCACTTGCTTGATAAGAATTTGTTTTTTTTCTTTTCATCATAATATCATCGACGTAGTAAGTCTGCAGTGCAGATGTTTTTCCTTACTTCCGAGAAAAAGATCGTTATTTTATAGGAAGCACGAAAAAGGCGTCTTGTCTACGTGATGTTTTTATCACATTTCATTCATAGAAACTTCTCAGCCATTGTAATAAACTAATAATACTGTACTAACTTCAGTGAGTCTCGATAAATTTTTGCCAAAAAAAAAAACAAACGGGTCAATAGGTCACTAAAATAAATAAAAATGAATATTTTTTTTCAGTGATACATATTGTTCGACTGTTTTTCGAACTAATCATCCGGAAAAACTAAAATAAAATGTTTTTTTTTCATTAGATTGTTAAGATAAATATAAAAAAAATATTACCAAAATATAATAATATTTTGTTTTTGAAATTCAATGAAATTTCAATCCATAAGTTTTATATTTTGCTTGGTTTATTTTTGATAAATTTAACATTTGTTGGAAAAAAATGTTTTTAATTTAAATTCAATTGTTGTGATTATGAGAGAATAGTATGATAAAAGCAAATGATTGGAAATTGGAAATCAATGAATTATTGATTTGATTGAGTAAGAATTGTTGACATATATTTGTTCAAAGATTTTCAAGATAAAATATATAAAAATATCCCCTGGAATAAAAGAACTAATTGGATATTCGTCTGTTCATTTTTTAAGTGATTACGAAACGAGAAACAGATAGTTAGGATGATAGATGTCACTGCAGATTAGCAGTAAATCCATCTTTTTAATTAATCAAATTAATCTGACATTTACTAGAACATTAAAAAAGAAAATAGAAAATAGTCGATAGTATAATAGATTTGTGATTTCATATTTATATATATTAGAGTAAATGTGCCTGAATTGTAGAATCTATTCAAGAATATCTAGAAAACCGGTTTATATAAGAGATTCATTTGCTCAAGGATTATTTGATGTATTTTTTTAATATCGAACTAGATTCATTGTTTTCCTATAGAAAGGTCCGTAATCTAAACAATCATCATAAAACATTTAGTCTATGCTGTATAAAACTAGGATCTTTCTAACAGGAATAGATTTGCATTATATTGAATACCATCAAATAACTAATTAAAAATATTTTCATCAGATACTTCAATATGATAATATAAGAATATCATTTTGACATAATTAAATATGAATGATTTATTTCACGACAAATTCACATCAACAACAAGAGTCATCTATAAGAAAATTTCAAGAATAATACAAAAGGGTCTGTTATAGACGACACTACTGAAAATGCCTGCATTTAACTTTTCTTTCATGTCTACCGAGACTATATAAACTAAAATTCAACGATGTGACTCATTTCAAAATTCTTCTCGTTCAATAAATCAACAACAGTAAAAAAAAAGAGAACCATGTGTACACCTGACGAAGCAGTTCAACATACTATGTATGCTAATCGATATCAACAGATAAAAAAGCTTGGTCAAGGAAGTTTTGGTACAGCTTATTTAGTGCATGATACAAAATCTAAACATGAAAAGTATGATAAGCAAAAAAGCCTGACTTTTAATAATCAAATCATATTTTTTTTTCTCTTAAGAAAAGTTTTAAAAGCTATTTTCATTGAAGATGTTTCTCCAAATGAATCATTAGATGCTGAACATGAAGCATCAATTTTAGCACGACTTCGTCATCCAAATATTGTTCGATTTTATGATAGTTTTATGGATGCAAATCATTTTTGTATTGTAACAGAATATTGTGAAGTAAGAATATAAATCTTCTATTGATAAATGTACATATCTGTTTTTTTTTTGGAAGGATGGTGATCTTGATCAATATTTAAAATCTTTACGTAAACAACGTAGTCGTTTACAAATGGATCAAGTTATTGATTTATTTATTCAACTTGTATCTGCAATTAATTTTTTACATTCAAAAAAAAATTCTTCATCGTGATATAAAAACGAGTAATATTTTTTTAAAACGAAATCATATTAAACTTGGAGATTTTGGTATATCACGTTTAATGATGAATACATTAGATAAAGCATCAACATTTATTGGTACACCCTATTATATGAGTCCAGAAACATTACGATTCGATGGATATAATATGAAATCAGATATTTGGTTAGAAAATTAATCAATCGAGTGTTTACTTTTTTTTTGTGTAGGTCATTAGGTTGTGTACTTTATGAATTAAGTGTTTGTAAACGTGCTTTTGAACGATCAAATATTTTACAAACAATGGAAGCTATTCTACGAGAATCTCCACCATTATTACCAGAAAGATTTCCAGTTAAAGTACAACAACTTTATTTACAGTATAGAATTGAAAAGAAAACAAAATATATATCATTTAGTTTTTCTAAAAATTTATTATTTAGAATGCTTTCAAAAGAACCAGAACATCGACAAACAGCAGCAGAACTCTTAGAAGAATTTAGTCATGTATGTTGTCTTTTTGAAAAAAAGAATATCTATTTTGAAATAAAAAAAATTGTTTTTTTTAGATTGAATTAAAACCAACTGATAAACAAAAATTTTCTACGCAATCATCAACTTCAGATGCTGAATCTAGTAAATTAAATGTATTCACTGTAGTAAATATATTGAATAGATTCTTAAGGAAATCGTTTATTTAGTTTTTTAAAATCACCGTTGCCCTTATGATAGATTATTACCCATATATAATCTGAGAAGTTAAATTAAACACATGCAATTCTCTTTTTAGAACTATCACATCCAGAATTTCGTCGTTCATTTAGTAACAGTCCACTGATAAATAAACATATTCGTAGTTCATTACAAGTTCCATCATCACCAATTCATTCGTCATCATCAATGGATTCTGTTGATTCATTTGAAAATAATCCAGCAGGTTTACATCATTTCAGACATATCTTGGCCAATAAACTTATGGAATTTTTATTTTTAGATGATGTTCAAGAAACAAATGATAACTTTGATCCATTTAGTTCAACAGCAAAAGAAATTAAAACTGATCATTATCGAAGGTAAATTCTTACAAAATAATACATATATATATATATATGATTTTCCTTTAGTAAAGCCCAACAATTAGTTGGTTCAGAAAATTTTACACAATGTTATAATTATTTACATGATCAACGTGAAAAACAATCGAAAGATCCAAGATGTACAGATGATATACTTTTATCTGGTCTTGAAACTTTATGTTCAAATTCTTATGCATGTAAATTAATAAATGAACTTGTATTACATGAATGTTTAAATGATATAAATGAACGAACAAAAAACTCTTAAATAATTTTCTTATTAGTTTTTCTCGTGTGTGTGTCTATAAATAAAATTTATTTTAGATTATTTTGTAAAAGAATGACTGAAACTGATGAACCACAAGTGTTTAAAAAACGTTATAAAATTATCAAAAAATTAGGAGCGGGAAATTTTGGTACTGCTTATCTTGTCACTGATCTTAAAGCGAAAAATGAATCGTAAGAGAAGAATTTTGTTGATATTAAATAATATATAAATTTCTTTCTTTTAGGAAAGTACTTAAAGTCGTTCGATTAGGTGAAATGGATTCTGATCAAACTGTTGATTCAGTTCATGAAGCTGAATTATTATCAAATTTACATAATGAACATATTGTTAAAGTAGGAAAAAAAATCAATTTAATTCATTTTTTTTTCCAAATTTTTTCTTTATAGTTTTATGAAAGTTTTCTTGAAAATGATTGTTTATGTATTGTTACTGAATTTTGTGAAGGCGGTGATCTTGATCAACGTTTTAAAGAATTAAAAAAACAAAATCGTGTATTAGATGAAGAACAAATTGTTGAATGGCTTATACAAATATTAATTGCTGTACAATATATGCATAAATCAAGAATATTACATAGAGATTTAAAAGCGAGAAATATATTTCTTAGATCAGAAAAAGTTAAAATTGGTGATTTTGGTATTAGTAGAATTCTAGTTGGAACAATGGATGTTGCAAGTACATTTACTGGAACACCGTAAGTGTTTTTTTTGGTAAAAACAAAATTGAAATTTTTGGTTATTAAAGATATTATATGTCACCAGAAGTAATGAAACATGATGGATATGAATCAAAATCGGATATTTGGTAAGAGAAAATAATATGTAAGATTCCATAAAAGATTTTTTATTTAGGTCAGTTGGTTGTTTATTATATGAAATGTGTACTTATGAACATGCTTTTAATGGTAAAGGTTTAATGAATGTTATATATAAAGTCGTTGAAGGACAACCACCAGAATTACCCACAACATATTCAAAAGAACTTAATGATATTTTGAAGAAGTAAGTATAAATTAGTTTTGACTTATTCCTATTGATGATAAATCTTATAAAATCATATTTTCCTCATCGATAATATAAATTAGTTTTGATATATTCGATAAAATTTATTGACTAAATTAATGTTCATTTTGATTAAAAACAATTTTGTACGATGGTTTCAAACTAAATTGTTCACATTGTTATAAAAATATTAATACTTTTCATTTGACTAGAATGTTTACTAAAGAACCCAAACAACGACCTAGCGCTGTTGAATTACTGAATGATCCATTTATTCTACAGCATCGTCAAGTATAATAATATAGAAAAAAGAATTATAAGTTTGCAGATTGTTTTCAATTTATTTAGAGAATTCAAATGAATGATCCATTAGAAAATACAATTAGTGGTAATCGTCGTTTGAAAGAACTTCATACGCGTTTGTAAATATAGAAAACTTTCGAGATTTTATATCAATTTTTTATATTATTCTATAGACAAAATCCGATAAGTTTTGGTGATATGCAAAAACAAAGTTGGTCATTAGGTAGTCAAAACCAAGCTATTGTTGATAATGACGATGATAATAATACGAATAATAATAATGATGATGATGATGATGATGTTCAACTTGGAAATAATACATTTTTTAAACGTAGTTCAAGAGTAGACGAACACGACGAACAACAAACTTTAAAAGACACATATACATACAAAACAGCTAGACAAACAATGATCGAACGAAAACTACATGAAGCTGATGCACGCGGACAAGTTTTTACGTAAGTATATGTATATGTATATCAATTAATTACATTCAAATGATTTTTTTTAGTCAGGCGGCTCGATTAAATACATTAGGAGCTGCTCAAAATCGACAAATGATGCGTGAAAGTACTATTATCGGAAGTGTAAGTTAATAAAAAAATTTTTATTCTTCAACCGATTATTATTTATTAACGCAGATGAAACAACCATGGCCATCTTTAAATGATGCAGAAATCAAAGAACAAACACGTCCAAAATTATCACAAACTGTTAATAATCGTACTCGCAGTAAGTTAATAATATCGTAAATCAAAACTAGTTTTAAATCCTATCAAAATCTTTGTTTTTTCATAGATACGAATCAATTTTCTAATGAAGAAACTTATACTGTTCGTACAAATCCAGATGATTTTAAAACTTTTAAAAAACCTATTCGTAGTCTTAATGATGATCGACCAATAACACCAATGCGTGGAACCTATAGACAAATTGCTGATAAATTTGGTGATGAAGATGGTTTACCAACTGATCCAAATTTAACAAATCAATATTATGAAGTTTATAATGATTTTGAAAAAGAAGATGATTTTAGTCCAACACGTGAAAAACATGAAAAAGAATTTCATGATCAAGTCTGTCGTAGTTTTAATGGTCAAGGTACAACACTAAAATTGAATCGATCAATGTCTGCATCACAACGTTCAACTATAAATTCTATGAGTAGAACAATCAATCCACATTATGCACCAAATCCTATTCGACAATCAAAATATGTTACTTCATCAAGAACAATTGCTAGTGGAACGAAAAAAAAAACCTTTATCATCTAATACAACAATCGATGAAAATAATATTACGTTGAAAGATAATCCAACTCATGATGCATTTGGTCCACTTGCAAAAAATAAAAAGATTAGTTCAATACGAACGTAAGTTTAATTTTTTCTTCAGTGAAAAATTTACCTATGTATGTATATAGTAAAGCAATTGAAGCATTAGGTGAAGCAACATTTGAAAAAGTTCATAATTATTTAATTAAACAACGTACTAGACAACGAACAGATACAACATTAGATGATAGCAAAATTACTGATGGTCTTACAGCTTTTGTTAAAAAACCCAGTGATTGTTTTCTTGTTGATCAACTTGTATTTCTTGAATTAGTTGAAACCAAAAACAAAACATGAAACATATGTGTGCATATAAGTTAATTTAATTCTTATAATATTCTTCATTTTCTTTTCTTCTTTCAATAGTCAAAAGATAAAGTAACATTCTTCTTTGTAATTTTTACTTTGTTACGTAATCATAATCCCAAAAACAGACAAGAATTTTTTTTGTAATATAAATGTTGTTTTCCTTTTTTTTTTACTTCATTGCATCTTCTGTTTTTGTCGACGTTATAGAACTACTGGTATTAATTATGTGTGATAAAAGAGAAAATAACTCATTAAAAATCTAGAATTATTTATATTAATTTTTACAGAGGAGAAAAAAAAAAGAGGAAGCTAAATGACAAAAAAATATTATGTGTTATTATCAAATCAATCCGTCATGTTATAGTATGAGAAGATGAATTTTTCTATAGGATTACAATGCACCTACATACTATTACTAATTAATCGTGAATTTCCCATGATAAGTAGATAGAAAAGAAAATTTGCCTTTGGGGATTTCCACTCACACACTATAACAAACCTAATTTATTTTACTAAAAGACAAATACTCGATCTTATGCATTTCATCTAATGAGTGGCTTAAAGACGTACATATATATATTAATATTCAGAAAATGTAAAAATGTTTACTTAAAATCAAAGCATACCATTTAATAAAAAAGAAGAAAGGGTCTAATTGATTGATTGCTTTATATAAACAATGTCAAAATTCCATATGTATAACAACTATTTTACCTTCTATAGTCCGTGATTATGCATTACTCATTTACTAAATGACGTCGATCAGATAACTAATAGGGCTGTCATATAATAAAAAAAGCACTACAAATCATGCTATCGTTTATGATGATCAAGTATTGCAACTATTTTCCATACATATTCATTTTCTATTTCTTTTCCGATGTTAATTAAATAATAATATTAACAATATAAATTATGAAATATGGATAGAGAAAAAAAAATTTTTTTTTTTTTCATTTATCATGTTGACAGATTTTTTTGCTATGTTGAATCTATATTGTTACAATTCTATATATTTATTTGTTGACAATTGAACAAACAAACGCATGACTGACCGAACATCTATAAATTTTTTATTTTTATATTGCAATACCAAATTACTGAACTTCCGTAAAAATTTACACGCTTATCCGACATATTCTTTGAGAAGTGCATTAGTCAATACGAATAGAGAACGAGAATAAAAAAAAATAGAGACAAAGGGTACATAAGCGTGATAACAACTTGTTGTCATTTCTTTTCTTTCCCTTCATACTCTCGACATCGATTAAGAATCACTACATTGAAATCAATCAGTATTTTTCTATCAGATCAAAAAAACAGCATATATTTAGTTTTTTCTTCCATTACTATTACGATAATTATGTTTGATAATGATACATTTTCAACAACAACAACAACAACTACAGTACGAACTACCCATGCAAAATATGTAAAAAGTCCATTTGAATCAAGATATATTGGTGGTATTTTCTTTATGTTCAGTGTTATGTTTGTGCTACTTTATGGAAATTTTTATCGTACAAATACTCTTCAGATGTTATGGCATCGATTATTAGTAAAACTTCATCTTGCACAACCATCATCACAACCTATTCATACATCATCACATGCTGTTATTGATAGACTTTCTATTTAATCATATATTAACATGAACAATTACAAGGTAAGACTCTATGTTGTTGATATACGTATATATATATATTGATTAATGTACGGAAATCTTTTTCTGCATACGAAATGATTGTATAGAAAAAACCCGGATATATTTAGTATGGTTTAGATCTCTTTTGGGAATAGAAAAAAATTTACTGACGAATAATTCAAAGAGAAAGAAGTGATAAATTATTCTTTCATCTTTGTCCTTTTTTCTTTTTTTATAAATATGACCCAATAGTTCTCAAGGGATACATTTACGATGAGCAAATTTTGTATTTTTTTTTGCTATCAACAAATTAGTTTTTTATTCTTTCGCCGTACGATCCATTCATCACAAACGAGCGATATACATACTACTTCTATTCTAGCACTT